AGACAGAGGTTGTAGTAATTATCATAGTTTAGAATCAAATAAGAAACAATTTATAAAAAACCCCGAATAAGGGAGAATCTCCAAGAGTTATGTGAAAAGAAATAGAAGTAATATTTTTATTTTAAGAGTGACTAACAATTGTTAAATATTTTTATTTTTGAGTACTTAATTTTATATTGAACATTATAACAAATATATACACATATATTAATATAAAAACATATCTATAATATTGGAATACATAAAAGTAGAGTTATGGAAGTTGAATAGCTTTTTCTTTAATTTATTGTTTTGCCACATGTCATTTTTTTATACAAAGGATGTTGACACATGTCAACAATTCCCCTAAAGAGTTCTTTAGGGGTTTGCTTTATTACTCCCTCCGTCCCTCTATTAAGTTCCTACTTTGACCTACACACATATTTAGGAATTAAATTTGACTTTACTGTTTAGACACTGTTTGGCACTGTTTAGACACTGTTTGGCACTGTTTAGACACTGTTAGGCACTGTTTAGACACTGTTTGACACTGTTTTGCACTGTTTGACACTGTTTTGATGTAGGATAACTTTCCATTTAGGGAAATGAGAAGATTATTTTGGGACGGCCCAAAAAGGAAAGTAGGAAGTTAATAGCGGGACGGAGGGAGTATATTATATAGATTTTAATTAATTTCTTTTATTTTGAACCAATTAGCATGTATTGAATTAGCTTTAACAACAATAACGGTATAATTTAATGAAGTTCATTCCCTGTAGTATATCTTTCCGTAACCATCACCGGGAAACCACCTTTCATCTTTGACGATAGATAGGCTACGTAGACGGGTTCCTTGCCGTCCTCCGCCACCGGCATTACCCTGAACCGCCCCAAAACGCCGGCCACCACCCTCTTCATTTGTAAGAAAGCCATCTCCTTACCTAGACAAATCCTCGGCCCTGCGTGGAACACCGGATATATGTACGGATCTTTCCCCACGAAGCTCAAATTCCCGTCTCCGTCCCTGTTTAGCCACCGTTCAGGGCGGAACTCCGCCCAATCCTTCCCCCACAGCTCCTCCGCCCTCCCCATCGCATGTTAAATTTCATACTTCGTATCAAACTAATGATAAAAATAGGAGCTAATATTGAGAGAGCTAAACTTCATGTAAAAAGAAATATAATGATACGGAACTTGTATTCTTCCATGACATGCATGCTACATATAAATAGGTGATGTGCATAATAGAAAGGGAATAATGCATGGGCCATGCATTACATGCACCCATGCTTACATGCTTAGTAATAGGGATACATTACACGTGGTACGTAAATCATATGAGGTAAATAGTATATAATCTCAATACTCCCCCTCAAGGTGGTGTGTGAAGGTTGCGAACACCCAACTTGCTCCTGAGAAACTGAAAACGGTCAGTGCCGAGCGCCTTAGTGAAGATATCAGCAATCTGATGTGTTGTACTGATACAACATGGTTGGATTTCGCCACTAGCAACACGTTCACGAACAAAGAAACAATCCATTTCTACGTGCTTGGTACGTTCATGAAAAACAGGGTTGAGTGCAATGTGTCGAGCTGCTTGATTATCACAGAAGAGAGAAGTTGGACCTGTTTGAGGAATGGTTAGGTCTCGAAGTAACCATCGTAGCCATAAAATTTCACTTACTGTAACGGCCATAGCACGGTATTCTGCTTCTGCGGAAGAACGTGAAACAACAGACTGTTTCTTTGTCCTCCAAGAGACTGGGGAATTTCCTAGAGTGATAAAATATCCAGTACTAGATCGGCGAGTGTAGGAGCACCCTGCCCAGTCAGCATCACAATAACCTTTCAAAGAAAAATCATTATCTGCAGATAAGAAAATTCCTTGTCCTGGAGTCTGTTTTAAATAACGAAGAACGCGTATGGCGGCGTCGAGATGAGACTGGCGTGGCTGGCTCAGAAATTGACTTAGTTGACTAACAGAGAAAACAATGTCGGGACGAGTCACAGTAAGGTACAACAGGCGACCGATCAATCGGCGATATGATGAAGCATCTGCAGGCGGGCTATCATCATCCGGTCGTAGTTTCAAATTCTGCTCCATTGGGAATTGACTAGGCCGAGCGGCTAGAAGACCGCTTTCTTCCAGAATATCAAGTGTGTATTTGCGCTGACTTAACACAAATCCCTCGGGAGAACGAGCAACCTCAATTCCGAGGAAATATTTTAGTGTACCCAAATCTTTGATGCTAAATTGGTCATCTAAGTACCCCTTGATTCTGTTGATATGAGTCGCATCATTTCCGGCTAGGATGACATCATCGACATAGATAAGAGCAAAAGTGTGAATCTGACCCCGGTGAAAAATAAACAAGGAATGATCCGCCCGTGATTGACGAAATCCGACGTTCAGAAGTGATTGCGTAAATTTGTGGTACCAATTACGAGATGCTTGGCGTAAGCCATAAAGGGATTTTTGCAATTTGCAAACACGGGTGTCACCATTTTTAGTAAACCCTTGAGGAACACGCATGTAAACATCTTCTGAGAGGTCTCCGTGAAGAAAAGCATTATTGACATCTAATTGATGTACCTCCCAATTGCGTTTGGCCGCAACGGCTAACAAACAACGTACTGTGACGAGTTTAGCAACTGGTGCAAATGTCTCGTGAAAATCAATTCCTTCGACTTGCGTAAAACCTTTGGCTACTAATCTTGCCTTGTAGCGCTCCACATCGCCGTTAGGTTTATATTTTATTTTATAGACCCATTTAGAGTCTACTGCTTTCTTCCCTGGAGGTAGCTGAACCAAGGTCCATGTACCATTTTCTTCTAAAGCATGAATCTCCCTTTGCATAGCCTCCCGCCACTTTGGATCTAAAATGGCCTGTGAAAAGCGTTGTGGCTCATCACGTGAAGTGATGGCTGCCAAAAATGCTTTATGTTTATTAGAAAACTTCTCATAAGTAATAAAATTGGAAATTGGATATACTGTTGCGTTGCCTTGATTAGTGTTCCGTGAATAGTCCAAGGAGGGCGGTAGGTCAACTTCATATTGAGTGAGATGTTTAGGAGGTCGGCGAGTTCGATTGCCTCTTCGTATCTCATCCGTGGCTGAAATTTGTTCAATTACGCCACTTGTATCATTTGTTAAAGGTGACTCCAGATTTTTCTCTCCATTTAAACAATTATTGGGTTGGCATGGATTTTGTAACGGACATGCAGGAGTATGATGCAAAGGATCTGTTTCATGTGTATGTGAAGAGAGATTTTGGCCGTTGTGTATGAGTGGATGAGAGGGCCCACCATTTGCACCATCTTTGTCCGTGCATGTATTACTCCGTGTTCCCAGCTGGCCTTGTGACCTGCAGACTGGAGCGCAGGGATCATGGGTTTCTGTATTTTGCTGGGGCCCACATGTGTACTCTGGATAGCTGCAGATATCCTCCAGGCTGTTGACTGGCTCCAGGCTCGACGGGTTTTCTGTCCGGTAGCTTGATCGACGAGTGGAGTTTTCAATTTGTAATGGACTGGTGTGGTGGTATGCCGGCAAATATGTACTGCTATGGCCCATTATTCTTTGACATACACGGTCAATTATAACCCCAAAATCAAGCCCTTCTTGATTTATCATTTTAAAAGGGAATTCATTTTCAATAAAGGTCACATCTCGAGAGCTATAGATATTTTGCTTTTGCAAATCAAATACTCTATAAGCCTTCTGACCGTAGGGATATCCAAGGAATACACAAGGACTCCCCCTTTCGTCAAATTTATCCTTACGTTTGTTGTCGTGTGCATATACTAAACACCCAAAAACGCGTAGATGTTCATAGTAAGGTTCCTTCCCAAACATCATCTCATAGGGGCTTTTGTTTGAAATAACAGGAGAAGGTAGCCGATTGATAATATAAACGGCAGTAAGAATGCATTCCCCCCAAAAATCAATAGGCAGTCCTGATTGAAAACGGAGAGCCCTAGCAACTTCCAATATATGTCTGTGCTTACGCTCCACAACTCCATTTTGTTGGGGGGTGTCTGTGCACGATGTTTCCAAAATAATTCCACAACGAGCATAATATTCGGATAAAAAATTGGTTTGAAATTCTATTCCGTTATCTGAACGTATCCGTTTAACTCTTTTCTCAAATTGAGTTTCTACCATTTTGCAAAACTGTATCAATTTTTGGCAAACTTCAGACTTATTTTTCATGAGGTAAACCCAAACACCTCTGGAAAAATCATCAACAATGGATAAGAAATAGCGTGCTCCTGAAGTAGAGTCACATCTATAACTTCCCCATATATCACAATGTATTAATTCAAAGCAACAAGTGGTCTTACTTGTACTTTTGGGGAAGGGTAGTCGAGTTTGTTTAGCTCGTAAGCAAGGATCGCAAAAGCTATTGCACTGTTGCAAACCTTTGAGAAATGAAATGTGTTGTAATTTTCCCTGTGAGGCATGTCCTAGCCGCCGGTGCCATAAGTCAGAATCGAGAGTAGCTCCCATTGCCACCCTTTCACCCCTAGGTAATTCTAGGTAATAAAGACCATTATGAAATCCACCCCTGCCAATTAATTTTCTGGAGGGTAAATCTTGTAATATACAGAAGTCTGAGAAGAAAGTGAGTGTGCAATTCAGTTCACTTGTGAGGCGACTGGCGGAGAGCAAGTTGCATTGGAACTGCGGAACATAAAGAACACGACGAAGATAGAACCCATTAGACAGGTACAAGCTACCAACGGCAGTGACTGGAACTAACTCCCCATTAGGAATTCTTACTCCTGGTTCGGATGAACGAGTAGAAATGTTGAAAAGATTTACATTATCACAAGTGATATGCTCACTTGCTCCAGAATCAATAATCCAGGTACGAGTGTGAGGCGGCATTGCCATTACTTTGATATGAGAGGGAAAAATGAAATATCTCAAAAGTAACTAGTATTGGGATATCCAGGTTTTGGCTCTGATACCATGTTAAATTTCATACTTCGTATCAAACTAATGATAAAAATAGGAGCTAATATTGAGAGAGCTAAACTTCATGTAAAAAGAAATATAATGATACGGAACTTGTATTCTTCCATGACATGCATGCTACATATAAATAGGTGATGTGCATAATAGAAAGGGAATAATGCATGGGCCATGCATTACATGCACCCATGCTTACATGCTTAGTAATAGGGATACATTACACGTGGTACGTAAATCATATGAGGTAAATAGTATATAATCTCAATATCGCATACGCGTGATAACTTACCCTCCAACCCTTCTTCATTGCCGTCCCGTCCGGCAAAATATCATCCTCGCCGGCCGTTTTTGAGTCCACCGGAACCGGCGGGTAAAGCCTCATCGCCTCACAGAGGGCGGCGTGGGTGTAAACCATGTCCTTTAGCTCACCGTACACCGCCGCCTCAGATTGCGATCTCACCTCTTCCAAGATCTTATCTTCAACTTCCGGTTGCCGGGAAATTGACCAGAAAAACCACGTCAAGGCGGCGGACGTCGTGTCCCGGCCGGCGAGTATGAAGCTGATGACGATATCGGTGACGAAGTTCTCCTCCGAGTGGCCGGAGCTCAAGAATCTTGACAGAAGGTCAACGGAGTCCAGCGTTGACTTCTCCTCCAGCTCTTTCTTCTTCTCCGTTACGATTTTCCTCGCGAATTCCCGCACCTCAGAAACCGCAATCCGGAGCTTCCTTTCGGATCCAATGTTGAAACGGCGTTTCAATTTCCAGACAAGAGGGCTAATTTCGTCATATCTCTGACTGCTGATCTTCAGAGCTTCCTCAAAAGCGACCGCCAATGTCGCCGCCGGTAAGGACGGCGAGAGATACCCGGGATCATACCCGAAAGAGATCTTACAGATATTATCAAAAGCGAATCTTTGAAGAATATCCTGAAAATCAAGAACCGTTTTTTCCCGAGAAGCAGAGGACAGAATGGGAATTAACCGGCCGGAGAGCTCTGTATCGACGACGGTGGCGACGAAGTTGCGCAGAGACCTGGTGTTGAACTCATGGATGGCGACCTCTCTCTGAAACTTCCACTTCTCTCCGTCGACGTTGAAGATTCCGTCGCCGAGAAAATCAGCTAAATTGGTTCTTGCAAAATCGCCTTTCGAGTAAACAGAGAAGCGGGTTTTGAGGATGTGCTCGACATTTAAAGGGTTACCAGTGTAGACCTTGGAGATTCCAGGGCGGTGTAAGGTGAAGGTCAGGTTGGGGGAGGCATTGATGGCATCGGAAAGCCATTGAAACCGGCGGTCTCTGTTTTTCAGAAGTGAGAAATAAGAACCTACCAGAGGATACGATCTGGGGATTTTATTACTGGGTTTTGATGAGAATATGTTGGAGAAGAGGAAGAAAACGAGCAAGGGAAGTAAACAGAAGAACAGTGACGTTGAGAGAAATGAGAGATCGTTATCAAAGCTTATTACTCCCATCATCAAGTATGGATTTTTTCCTTATTCCAATTGCTTTTAAAAAATAGAAATCATTAAATCAACGAGGATTTTGTCCTCTGACTGACTTGGGTTTTATAGTATTGGTGACGCAAAACTCGAATCACCGGCTCTGGCATTCCACACTCAAGGTGATAGATAGAATTTTGGAACTGGAAATGGCGATTTGGTCTGAAATAGTTTATCAGAGAATGGTTCAGTATCTTGTGTGATGAACACCCTACCGACTCGTGCAAGCGTTTTATACTATTAGCACATGAGCTACGCTATATGTTACTCCCTATAATGATTTTTTATTTAGATGAATCGTTTAAAATGTATAGTTATTCTAGCTTAATTGAAATTGATATAAAATGTAAAATGTTATTTTTTTTATCGAAGCGAGCTTGTATTAATAAAATAGCATTCAACAGGGGTACATGACAACAAAAGGACCACATGTAACCATCCGCCCTTGACCGAGACTTAGAGTTAATCACCTTTAATAAACCAATATAACTCGCTAGACCTAAATTGAGCAACTTAAAGCCAATGACGATTACCGCAGACCTCTCATCCCCCAAACCTAATGCAAGAGTCTTACAGAACATAAAATAATGAAAGTAAAACAGAACAATCCATCCATGAAGAAAACAAACAAAACAAACAGTAAAAATAAAACCAACATCCTTCTTGATCATCACAGCCATATGAATGCTCGGCGGGCATAGAGAAATTGACCCGCCGCCTCCCCATTTTTTGACCCATCCAGTGTCATCCCTTCGCCAGCTATGCCTCCTTGGGCTTGACTTTCCCATATTCTTCTGCGTTTTGTCTCACCCGGGGTTTCTTCTTCCTTGCCACCCGACCCATCCTGCTGAGATGCACTAGCACCTGATTCTGCCTAGTACTCGCCCCCGAGATCGGTCTTCCGCTGTTGTCCGTACCCCTCAGAACTAGAAGATTCATTAACTAACCACTTATTAGGTCCTGTAGGACTGGTCTTTACCCTTCCTCCAGCTCTGAGCTCCACCCCAAATGATTTCTCTAGTACAAACCCCTCTTCATATTTCAATGGACACAATTTATTAGAATGCCCAATTATCCCACACATGAAACGGAAATCGGGTAGCGTTTCATACTTAAAATCCACCCAATGCCCAACCCCATCTTTTGTTAAGGTAGTACCCTTTTTTAAAGGTTTCCACACATCCATACAGATTCGAATACACAGATAAGATTTCTGCTTGCCTTCAAATTGGCTCTTATCAAACATAATAAAAGAGCCTAAGAAATTCCCAATCTTCCTGGCAGATCCCAAATTTCTAAATTTAAAAGGTACATTGTGAACTTGTACCCAAAATTCAGTTTCAAACAAATTCATTGTCTCAGGTATATCATCTGGCTGAACAACTTTCAAAAGAATTAGATCACGTTCAAACAGCCAGGGGCCACCCTCAAGCACACGATTCATATCCAACACATGATTACAATTAAAAAGATATCTATTTTCTCCAATTTCCTGGATGGCCACACCTTTTCCTGGACGCCAGATCGAAGCCAGCAGCTCTTGGAACCCCGAAAGCTTAACTTTTCGATCCGTGACCACCACCCCCACAACCGGGAACACCTTGGGTTCATTAGCCGTATCGATGTCCTCTGCCTCCTCCTAATTGAAATTAAGCTCGTTCTCCTTTGCATCAATAGCCATCTTCTTGTAGATGTTAACAATATCCTCCATCTATCAAAGCTTCTTTAGTATCACTGACCCCTACGTCTTCCTGTTGTTTCAAGTCCAAGCCGCGATCGACGAGAAGCTCTCACCTCTGCCGTCGCTTGCCTTCACCGCAACTAAACCCCGTACTTCGTCATAGTCGAACACAGAAATCAACCCCCAGCGGCGGAAAGCCCTAGGGAAGATCGATTTTTTAGAAAATGTAAAATGTTATTGTTATCGCCAAACGTTTTTTCGTATAAGTAATACAATTATACGGAGTATCTTATTAGCTAACTTTGTCATAATAATTGTATAAAATGTGTAAAAGTTAAAATGATACGCTATATATATATAGTGAATATGTACTCTTAATATCTACTATATTTATTTATATCTTAAAGATCGATGAAGTGTCAAGATTGTATAAATATTATAAATTGTTCAGTTTACGGTTTTCAATTTAAAATCGCGTGGGAACATTTCTACCCAACTCAAGGAGTATATAATTATTTTGCTTTTATGATGCAACAAGTTGGATTTTTTTTACCTTTTCATGGATATGATTTCAAGGACCTAACTATGGAACTATGATCGGTGATAAAACCCTTCATATGTATTAGGACATTAGGTATACTTTTCTATGATTTTAAAGACCTAACAATCAAAATATCATCGATTACCTATAGCTTACGTCCGGATTACTTTTTAGGAACAATGAAACAAATTTTATACGTTTCATTGTTAGCACCAAAATCGGCTGTTTTGGCTGATTCTGCTGAAATTTATGATATTCTGGCTGGAGTGGCTGTTTTGGCTGATTCTGCTGATTTAAGAAAAAAATATTTTAAAAATATATTTTATTAATAAATTAAAGAAAAAATTATATGTAAAAATAGCTAAAATGGTCCTCTACAGTAACTTCAGTCAATACAGCCAGAAAAGTAACTCCAACCTTACTTTTTCGGCTTATTACACAATTCAGTGCGCGAAAGTAAAAGTTACGTGTTTGGTGAAAAAGCTGGCTGATAAGCCTGATAAGCCGAAAACAGAGTTCTCCAAACGGGCTCGTAGTATATAGTTTGTAAAAGAATTAGAACCCGTTTGGTAGCACGAAAATCGGTTGTTTTGGCTGATTCTGTTGAAATTTATGAAATTCTGGTTGAAGTGGCTGCATTGGCTAATTCTGCTGATTTAAGAAAACAATATTCTAAAAATATATTTTATTAATAAAATAAAGAAAAAATTATATGTAAAATAGCTAAAATAGTCGTCTACAATAACTTCAGCCAATACAGCCACAAAAGTAACCTCAACCTTACTTTTTCTGCTTATTACACAATATAGCGCGTGGAAGCAAAAGTTACGTGTTTGGTGATAAAGCTGGCTGATAAGCCTGATAAGCCAAAAAACTGGGTTGTCAAACGGGCTCTTAATTTCCCAAATAAGACTAAAAGAAGATCCGTGTGCACAAATAGGACCAAAAATGAAACATACGTTTTGTAGGACCTAAAACCACATATTTGTACAAATATGCCCCTAATCAATTTCTTTTGAATTAATAATTAAAAATGTAAAATTAAAATGTTGAAACCCTGAACGTCAACCGTAACACAGAAGCAGGGCCGGTCCTGAGAAATTACGGGCCCTGTGCAAAAATAAAATGTGGGCTTTTTTCTAAAATAAATAGAACTATAATACAACTAACATATACTCCCTCCGTCCCAAAATAAATGTATTTTTTGCTTTTGCACAAGTTTTAAGAAAATGGTTGAAAGGGTTAAAGTTGTGGTTCAAATTTGAGTAGAAAAAGGTGAATTGATATGAGTCACATTTTACTGCTAAAAGAGGAAACAAAATAATTATTTTGGGACGGACCGAAAAGGAAAGTATGACATTTATTTCAAAGTGAATTGATATGAGCCACATATATTTGTAAAAATTTGAAAATAATAAGTGAAGATTATATTTATAAAAATTTGCTACAACAATAATTTATATCAAAATATAAGTTATTCACTAACTTAATAGTGAAAATAAAAGTATTCCTTAACAAAATACACTTCATTTATTTGTTAAACAAAATTATAAATTAATAGACTGATAATGTAATATCTACCAGTTTACTAATTTAATAATGACATATAATATAAAAAATAGTTACTAATATGATTACAAATCAATATTAATCATTAATATGAATCATGGCATTATATAAAAACGTAAGTTGAAAGAATGTTACCATTAACGAAATGGTTGAGTTGGTTCGTACTACCAATACGTGGGAGGGTGTCATGGGTTCGAAACCTCCTAGCAGTTGAATTTTTTAATTGAAGCTACGGATTTACCGTTTGGGCTCCTAGGAAGACTATTAAATATTGGGCCCTAAGAATTAATGGGCCCTGTGCGGTTGCACTGGTGGCACCTGCCCTGGGCCGGCCCTGCACAGAAGCCACCATTGCTGCCTGCCGCTTCCTCCCTCGTCGGCGCCCCTGCCGCCGCCCTCGCCGGCACCACCTGCCGCCTCCCTCGCCGGCACCACCTGCCGCCATCCTCGTCGGCACTGCTTGTCGCCTCCCTCTCCTGCACCACCTGCCGCTCCCCTCACCGGCACCGCCTACCGCCACTCTCACTGGCACCGCCTGCTGCCACCCTCTCCAGCGCCGCCTGCAACCTCCCTTGTATGCTCCGCCACCATCCTTCGCCACCACCACCATTAAGTTGGCAGATTTTCAGATCTGCCATAAAGTTAGCAGATTTAGTTGGAAGATTAACACAAAAACTGCCATGAAGTTGGCAGACTTAGTTGGAAGATTAACACAAAAACTGTCAAAAGTTTGGCAAAAATATGAATTCAGTATCCAAATGCATTTAGAAAATATCAAAAAAAATAATGGAAGAAGCATGTTAGCACAACCGGAATTCGAAGCTAATGGCAAAAAGTTAGAAAACCATTTTACACAATAACACAAATGCTTTTTTTGCCATAATCACTCGTCAAGTTGTCAGTATACACATTTCTGCCATAAACTTGGCAAAATCTGAAAACACCATCCAAAATTTTGGAAAATTAGAAAATTTTTAAGAACTAAGAAATCATATCTTGGAAATAGAAAATAGAAGTCCGAAAATTGGCAAAATCAATGTCAAAATCCCTGAAAAACAGAGAAATAGAAGGAAAATAAAAAGGAGGAGGAGGAGGACAAGAGAAGGATAGGAGAAGAACCTCAACGAAGGCAGCATGAGGGAGAGTGGCGGGCAGCGGCAGCGATGTACAGAGAGGAATCCATCAATCGTGCCGCGGAAGAAGCAGATCTGGTGCGTAACCGATCGATTGTACGAGCGAGAGAGAGAGAGTAGAAGGCGGCGAGAGAGAGAGAGAGAGAGAGACAGGGAGTTGGCCGGCTGTAATTGCTTCTGGTGCACAGAGTAGAAGCAGATCCGATGCCTGGTACGGGAGGTTGGGAGAGATATTTGGTCTAGGGCAGAGAAAATAACCGTAGGGGCAAAATTGGGATGCAATCATGCAAATTTCTATATGTTTCATAATAGGATTAAATTGGTCCTATTTGGGGGGGAAAAAGAT